GGAATACGTTATATATAGATATATATAGTACACTATGCATAAAGTTAATCTCCATCGAGCTACCCCGTCATAATATCTGCTTGGCCCCTAAGTATGCAGATTATCACACATTCCCACTCGAGGTTCTTTATACATCTTTCAGGTTCGAACAAGGTAAGATTATATTACTACTAACGTGGTTCACAAGTGAGTCGCTAACCCAAGCGAGTCGCTAACGCCCCACCACTACATCTACATCAACACGTTATCACAGTTTTTTATCACAGTCAATAAACTATTGCGATACACCAAATTAATTGTCAGAATCGCTACTATCACTTGCACTATCTATCTCAACTACGCAGGTACGAGCGTTGTGTCCAGTCTGCTTGCAACGCCCGCACCGCCGCTCTCCTCGCACCCTCTTCGACGCACTCTCACCATCACCACGACTGCTACCCGCCTGTTTAGCTAATACTTCTTGTACTTCGCCTACAGTAAGAGTCTCTTCTGTCCGTACGTATCGCCGCTTGCGGCTTTTACGCTTATTTGACTCGTCAAGAGCCGCTCGAAGCGTACCCATTTCCTCCATCATAAGCGTCATTTTATGTGCCATTTGCTGGGCCCCCTTACTCAGCTACGCGATCTGCTTAGTGAGTGAATTGGCAGAAGATCCACGGCGTTTTCTCACGCTCTCTTGAATAAGACTAATTTGAGACTCAACTTCGCGCGCGTTGCGTGGTGTCTGCGCCTGCCAGGCAGCTACCCGTCGTGGTGATTGACGAGGTGTCTGCACCACTACATCAAGCTTAGATAGCACAGCCTGTGGGTCGTGTGGGACTAGACTAGCACCTCTGAAGCCAGCTTGGATATTCTCCTTCGTGATAGACTGCTCAAAAGCAGCCTTAAAGGCTGGTAGGAAGGTTTCCTTGCTAATATAGTGGGTGCGGTTGCGTGCCAAGCCTGAAACAGCGTCGCCATACTTGCGCTTCAACGGCGAGAAGCAGGCGACGTCAAGGGGCTGCAACAGGTGAGACGAGTGTGGAGGCATGCAGAGAAGAATAATATTCTTCTCCTTGCAAAGATCTTGAAAATCGATAGAGCAGTGGCTCTCATGGCCGTCGATAATAAGCAGTCGATACCCACCCACAGTATGCCTCTTTGTATAGGTATCAAAGTGCTCTAACTAGGCAAGACTAAGCTAATTATTCGTCTAGCCATTAGGACTGACTTTAAGAACCTAGTTAGCAGGCAAATCCTTAAACTAGACGTTGATAAGCACCTTGCCCGCAAAGACAACGAAGGGTGGTATCTAGCGACCTAATGCGCCCACGCCTTAGATTACAGTAACCCACTCGCGGTTGCCTAGCTGTATCTGCTTCTTTTTCCTATATCCTTCTAAGCCTGTGATTAATAACTGTAATAAAATCTTGCCTATTATAAAGCTAGTTTCGTTAAAGTTGTAGATATTGTCGTCCACAATACCCCACTTCTACCTTGTCGCCTAGACTAAGTCAAACTAGCGCTGGATAGCCACTAGGTCCTCGCAGGCGGCTCGCTGGTGATTATAGGGACGGCTCCAGCGCGTACGGAGCTCAGCAGTCCGCCTAACAAAGTTGTCAACCTAGTTCTTGCCAACAGGGTTGCCACCACGCTCCTCTAACAGTTTATCGGCCATTGCTCGAACCTTAGCCTTTGTAGGCGCAAATCCTCGCGCAGACTCTTCAAGAATACGCCTAACAATAGCCTCCTCTTCTAGCTTATTCAAGCGCTTTAAATTTAGTTCGCAGTCGCGTCGAGAGTGTCTTCTAGCGCGTTAGTAAAATAAAGTTATTTAAGGGACGCTATAGATCTTAGCAGCACGTTTAACACTCTTTACACGTTAGAAATTAATATTAGAAATAGCAAGTTAGATATCAGCTTTAGAAAAAGTTTGTTAAATCTAATGTAGTTAAGACATAACGCGTTGTAGTATGAACGTCGACGCGCTGGTGGGGAGGTGTCCGCTCGCTTGGGGTGTCCGCTCGCTTATGAACCACGTTAACTATTATTATTATTAACGTGGTTCACAAGTGTTACAAGTAACAAGAAGGATTCTCCCCTTGACGGGGGACGACGAGGTTGAAGGCCAACCACGTCCACGTCAGAAGGTAATGATCATCGCGGGGCTCGAGGTCACGTGATGCGCTCTCCCGCCAAGAGCCATTCTCCCGCCAAGGAAGGGATAATAGGCCAGGATGGGAGAAGGCGTTCTCCCACATCTCCCAAAAGACAAGGATGTCAAGGGAGAAGAGGGAGAACAGGACTAAAGGCAATAGGTATAAGAATAGGTTGGATTTTATTATTACACTTGTTGTGGTTAACTCTTATAAGTTCTTCTCTTATATAGATTAATACTTAGTTATTCTATCTTCTAATAGAATTAGTTTGTCTTACTAACCTAGTTAACTCCTATAACTCTTCTCCACCTTATCGCCAGACAATTACCTCACGGATACTTCAGCCAGACAGCCTCGCCCTAACCCGGACCGAGACTAGGTAAGTATAGTTTCTGATAGTGTTAGGAAACCCCGTGTAACAACAAGTGAGTCGCTAACCCAAGCGAGTCGCTAACGTCCCACTAGCCCATCAACTTTATCACTATAACGCGTGATGTCTTAACAATACAACTATCTATTAATATATTCTAAATCTAATCTTTAACTTGCTCTTTTTATCGTCTAGTTGCAACGTATTTAGAGTATAAACTATGCTGCTACTATCTATAACGTCCTATAAAGAACTCTATCTAATAAACGCGCTAGAAAGCGCCCTTAACGCAACTACAAGCTAAAATTAAAGCGTCTAGATAAGCTAGAAGAGAAGGCTATAGTTAAGCGTATTCTTAAAGAGTCTACGTAAGGATTTGCGCCTATAAAGCTTAACGTTTAAGTAATAGCTAATAAACTATTAGAAGAGCGTAGTAGCAACCCTGTTAGCAAGAACTAAGTTAACAACTTTGTTAAGCGGACTCCTAAGCTCTATACGCGCTAGAGCTGTCCCTATAATTACTAGCGAGCCGCCTATAAGGATCTAGTAGCTATCTAGCGCTAGTTTAACTTAGTCTAAGCAACAAGGTAGAAGTAGGGTATTATAGACAACAATATTGTTACACGGGGTTTCCTAACACTATCAGAAACTATACTTACCTAGTCTTGGTCCGGGTTAGGGCGAGGCTGTCTGGCTGAAGTATCCGTGAGGTAATTGTCTGGCGATAAGGTGGAGAAGAGTTATAGGAGTTAACTAGGTTAGTAAGACAAACTAATTCTATTAGAAGATAGAATAACTAAGTATTAATCTATATAAGAGAAGAACTTATAAGAGTTAACCACAACAAGTGTAATAATAAAATCTAACCCATTCTTATACCCATTGCCTTTAGTCCTGTTCTCCCTCTTCTCCCTTAACATCCTTGTCTTTTAGGAGATGTGGGAGAACGCCTTCTCCCATCCTAGCCCATTATCCCTTCCTTGGCGGGAGAATGGCTCTTGGCAGGAGAGCGCATCAC